ACCACACACACCAATTCTCAACACCCTCACCCAAGCCCCTTGAACTTATTCAGTCTAAAATTTCCAATTAATAACCTACTGACTCCCTAATCCCTATCCCCACTCCCCGCTACCTTATGCATCTTACACGCCCCATCAAACTCACCCTCCCCCACTTCACACCCAAATTGTCTTCATTCTACATGTCCTCCTATCCATAAAACCTCACCAATTTCTAATCAAATACCTCGTCAGTGCAAACATCCCTCAGCGTAACCACCACTCCATTTGCATCTTGGCCCCCCAGTCTATGTTTCCAATCGTTCACATAGGCTCCCCCCCCCTAACACACATCCGTCCCCGCCGTTCCAACTCACTACAAACACCCCCCCCACAACACGTTATATCCTCAAAAGTTAATTGAACAAGCTGCAGCTAGGAGACGGTATTAGGCATTTATGTACCAGACACATGTCACTTATGATTTAGACAAAAATCAGCAGAAAAAACTTCGTATTGTTGAGGCCCAACTGTCCCGGATGAGGTCTAAAAACCACCCCTACAACTACCATACTTTCTGGCTGCCATCCTCTTTTAAAGTAAATCTTATTGAAAATTGAGGGGTGGTGGGTGGGGGTGGCGGGGTGGGGGGGGGGGCCCCCCCCCACCCCCCCCAAGCTATCGCCATTCACCTCCCGACCTCCAGTCTATGTTCTCGATGACACCCATTACTTTTCCTTCCCTTCTTGTTACTTGGTGTCGAGGACCTACCCTCTAAAAGGTGGCCTCCGTTTCTAACCTGTGAGTGCGGAAAGATTTGCGACGGGGCAATACATCCCAGCCGGCGAGCATGACGAGATCGAAAGGCATATGCAATGGAGTAACTAATGGAAATATATGGGACCAGACCGATCAGAATGCGAGTGAGCAGGGACCAATTAAGGAGAAGGGCTCCCGGGACCCCTAAAAATATTAAAAAGCCGGACATGGAGTCCTGGAAAAGGAAGTACAATTCCTGCACCGCTAAAAGGAGGGGTTTCGGGATATTGGCATTTGGAGGGAAAATTGTGTAATATTATACGAATATATATTTTCTAAACTGTTTACTTTCTGAGCCACCTCATGGCAAAAAACAGTGATAATGTAGTGAGGTGAAAGAGTTGATGATGATTAACAGTAGTTTTCTTTTTGGGGATTTTATTTTCTTTTTTGGGTCACCCTGCCTCGGTGGGAAACCGGACGATCTTGTTAATATATTAAAATATATATATATTATATATATGATAAATATTAAATATATATATATATATATATATATATATATGTAATGTGTGTGTGTGTATGTATATATTATGTATGTAAAGGACAATCATTTCTAATATAAATCCTGCTCTGAAAATTTTCCTTGATAGCTGCAACAGAACTCAAGCATAATACAAGACAAAAATCTCTGATGTTTCCCCTGTCCCGTTTAACCTGTGTAAAAATTGGCGATACCTGGAATAGACCCGGGCCAGGACAAGACCGGCGAACCTACTACCATACAAGAGCGATAGGACGATACGAAAATTTTTGCCGATACCGATATCCAATTTTCGGCCGATACCGATACTTTTCCTATATTTTCTTATTTTTTAAATTCTAATGACTGTTTTCAGTATATAAATAACACGGGAAGGTTAAATATGAACTAACCTAATATTTCTGTGATGATAATGTTATTAATGATTACTTGGCGCCTGTTAAGTACTAGTTGCTTAGGCACTTGTCGATAATGTGTACTCACCTCTTTGTACTCGTCTATTTGTGGTTGCAGAGGTCAAGTCTCAGCTCCTGGCCCCGACTCTTCACTGATCGCTACTAGGTCCTCTCTCTCCCTGCTCCATGAGCTTTATCATACCTCATCTTAAAACTGTGTATGGTTCCTGCCTCCACTTCACCACTTGCCAGACTATTCCACTTCCTGACAACTCTATGACTGAAGAAATACTTCCTAACATCCCTTTGACTCATCTGAGTCCTCAACTTCTAATTGTGATTCCTTGTTTCTGTGTCCCATCTCTGGAACATTCTGTCTCTCCACCTTATTTATTCCTCGCAGTATTTTATATGTCGTTATCATATCTCTCCTAACCCTCCTGTCTTCCAGTGTCGTCAGGCCGATTTCCCTTAACCTTTCTTCGTAGGACATTTCCCTTAGCTCTGGAATTAACCTTGTTGCGAACCTTTGCACTTTCTCTAATTTGTGTGTGTGTGTGTGTGTGTGTGTGTGTGTGTGTGTGTGTGTGTGTGTGTGTGTGTGTGTGTGTGTGTGTGTGTGTGGTGTGTTTTGTGTGTGCGCGCCGCGCGCGTGCGCAACACTCAAGATCGTGAGGTAGTGTTTATGTTGATATTTTTAAGCACACATGCAATATTAATATTTTAAAAAGTATCGGTTGGCATCGGCAGTTCTTTTCACCGATCCCGTAAAAATATATGATAACCGCAGATACCGATACCTGGTATCGGTATCAGATAAAAACTAAAAATTCAGTGCGCAAAAGAGGCCTAAAGTCTCAAACTCTCTGTCTAAGATTCCAAAGGTTCACTAACCGCCATCTCTTGAACACCACTGTTGAAAAGCACCTTACAAAGTCAGTCAAATCCTGAAACCTTCTGTTGCCATCCAATTCTCTCCCTGTTTCTTCTCTTCCAGTTTCCTTCAACTCCCACATATTACTAGATAGGTATATACTACATCATACCTTTGATATACCTTTGACGAGTTCCGAGAGTATATTTTGTATTAATACGAGAAACTAGTATCAAACTGCCGAACTTGACAATTATATAAATTTTAAATATAGCAAAGGGTGTTACCCGAGATGCTGTGCATTCTATGGACCTTCAGTTTATTTTGTTCTCTGCAGTAATTGCATTTTCATTCTTTTAGACATTGTTGTACTGATAATCTTACATAGGATCTCTCTCATGACCATGTATGCCGAAATAATTCTCACTTTACACTTCATATTGTTTTGTATTGTCAATGAATTAACTAATACCTCTCACCGTTTTACAGCAGCAGATTTTTTTTTTCATTATTTTATGAATAAAACATATAAGTAGTATAATGTGATCCTTTATTGACAATGTTTCGCCTACATAGTGGGCTTTATCAAGTCACAAACAGATCTACCTGGGTGAAAGGTACGTGAGTATTTATAGGATAATGTCAGGTGAAGAATGACTGCAGCAAATTATACGTGGGCGAAACATCCAGACACCTCCAAACATGTATTTCAGAACACCAGTACGCAGGCAGATCGGACGATTTAAGGAATTTCAGTGTTCAACACCGAAATTCTCACAACCATTTAATCAACTACAGAAACGCAAGACTTATCGCCAGAGAAGAAAACAATACCGCAGAATCCTGGAAGCATCACTTATCTGTATATCCAACAACTTCAACCAAAACAACGGCTTCTATAACAGCTGAACCCCTTGCCAAGAAAATTCTTCATGGTTATCCCACATAACTACATACGCACCCGCCAGTCCCGTGCAGGTCCTTATCAGATCCAACCTACCCAGCATTCTCCCCTTGACTCAATCCTATAAATACTCGCGTACCTTTCACCCAGGTATATCTGTTTGTTATTTGATAAAGCCCACTGTGTGGGCGAAACGTTGCCATTTATTTCCATTTTATGAATAAACTTGAATATATTTTAAAGTTCATATTAATACTATGTATTAGACCCATAAATATAAAAAAACAATTGATTCACACCGGAGTACGTTCCCTGGTATTCCTGCTTCAGTCTCAAGTTTTTGGCCCAGTTTCTTGTGGGGTGCAGTATCAAACGCCTTCTTGAAGTCAAAAAATATGTAATCCACCTCTCTCTCTCTCTCTCTCTCTCTCTCTCTCTCTCTCTCTCTCTCTCTCTCTCTCTCTCTCTCTCTCTCTCTCTCTCTCTCTCGTCTCACATCTGTTACTTTGTCATAGAACTTCAACAAATTAGCAAGACAACTTTTACCATCCCATGCTGGTTCTTGTTCATAAAACCCTTCTCTCCAAGTGTGCCACCACTCTTTCCCTGATATTTTTTTTCTATCACCTTGCAAGGTATGCACATCAGAGAAAATGGTCTGTAGTTTATACGCCTCCTGTCGGTCTCCTTAAATATAGGACTACATTTGCTGTCTTGCAGATCTCTGGTAATTCTCCCGTATCCATTGACAGTATTGTAGATCATAGCTAGTGTCTTAGTGCTTCTGCGCCCTCTCACAAAATCCATGGTGACACTTTGTCAGGTCTAATTCCCTTCGAAGTAACAATGTCTATTATTTTAATCTCTTCTTTCTTGTTATGTGTACACACACACACACACACACACACACACACACACACACACACACACACACACACACACACACACACACACACACACACACACACACACACACACATATATATAGGATGGGGTCCACCTCTGGTGTAAATTGTGGCACCCATAGCCTCGGAGAAGTGGATAAAAAGGCTTCAAGGAAGAATATTTGGATTTCTTCCTGAAATGTATGTATATATATATATATATATATATATATATATATATTATATATATATATATATATATATATATATTATTGAGAAAGATGCACCTCATGGTGTATATTAAAGTACGTGCGAAATCTGAGCAATTTCAGGTAAGGTTGCTAACTTTATGGTAATATAGCCTTAACGTTATCCTGGCCAGCTTAAACCATTTCAATCTAAGTATATGTAGTATTATTAAACATGAGTAATAATCATTATTTGATGCTCACATTAATTTCTGCTGTTTCAACAAAGAATTTACGGTGTTTGGCCAGACACTGACTGCTGGTCCACAAGCCAAGATGGCAAGCTATAATTAAAGAGCAAGACATATACGTGACGAGATGTATACATTTCTTGATGTGTATATCCTGTGATAATATGTTCGTTTCCGGACTTTGTATCCACATCCGCTATGTAAATATGATAGTTGGACAGACGCACAGTGGTCAGCCGGTGGTCGTAAAGTCTAGTGCACCTCGGATGTGTTCCTGTGTGAAGTGCGTAAGTGCTGTGTAATAAGTGTTATGTGCTAAGTGATATGCGCGCTAGTGCTGTTGTACTTTTTTATTGTTTATGTATAAGGATTGAATACATCTGCAGTGTGCCGCTACACTGTTTCCTGGTCGTGTGTCATCATAAAGGACGAGTCAAATACATGGTTGATATGCGTCAGCCTGAGCTCTGATACTAATGAAGGGCTCTTGATCAGCTCTGATACTAATGAAGGGCTCTTGATCAGCTCTGATACTAATGAAGGGCTCTTGATCAGCTCTGATACTAATGAAGGGCTCTTGATCAGCTCTGATACTAGTGAAGGGCTCTTGGTCAGCTCTGATACTAATGAAGGGCTCTTGATCAGCTCTGATACTAATGAAAGGCTCTTGATCAGCTCTGATACTAATGAAAGGCTCTTGGTCAGCTCTGATACTAATGAAAGGCTCTTGGTCAGCTCTGATACTAATGCAGGGCTTTTGGTCAGCTCTGATACTAGTGAAGGGCTTTTGGTCAGCTCTGATACTAGTGAAGGGCTCTTGATCAGCTCTGATACTAATGAAGGGCTCTTGGTCAGCTCTGATACTAATGAAGGGCTCTTGATCAGCTCTGATACTAGTGAAGGGCTCTTGATCAGCTCTGATACTAATGAAAGGCTCTTGGTCAGCTCTGATACTAATGCAGGGCTTTTGGTCAGCTCTGATACTAGTGAAGGGCTCTTGATCAGCTCTGATACTAATGAAGGGCTCTTGGTCAGCTCTGATACTAATGAAGGGCTCTTGGTCAGCTCTGATACTAATGCAGGGCTTTTGGTCAGCTCTGATACTAATGAAGGGCTCTTGGTCAGCTCTGATACTAGTGAAGGGCTTTTGGTCAGCTCTCATACTAATGAAGGGCTTTTGGTCAGCTCTGATACTAGTGAAGGGCTTTTGGTCAGCTCTGATACTAGTGAAGGGCTTTTGGTCAGCTCTCATTACTAATGAAGGGCTTTTTTTTGGTCAGCTCTGATACTAGTGAAGGGCTTTTGGTCAGCTCTGATACTAGTGAAGGGCTTTTGGTCAGCTCTGATACTAGTGAAGGGCTTTTGGTCAGCTCTGATACTAATGAAGGGCTTTTCGTCAGCTCTGATACTAATGAAGGGCTTTTGGTCAGCTCTGATACTAATGAAGGGCTCTTGATCAGCTCTGATACTAATGAAGGGCTCTTGGTCAGCTCTGATACTAGTGAAGGGCTCTTGATCAGCTCTGATGCTAATGAAGGGCTCTTGGTCAGCTCTGATACTAATGAAGGGCTCTTGGTCAGCTCTGATACTAGTGAAGGGCTCTTGATCAGCTCTGATACTAGTGAAGGGCTCTTGGTCAGCTCTGATACTAGTGAAGGGCTCTTGATCAGCTCTGATACTAGTGAAGGGCTCTTGATCAGCTCTGATACTAGTGAAGGGCTCTTGATCATCTCTGATACTAATGAAGGGCTCTTGATCAGCTCATACTAATGAAGGGCTCTTGGTCAGCTCTGATACTAATGAAGGGCTCTTGATCAGCTCTGATACTAGTGAAGGGCTCTTGATCAGCTCTGATACTAGTGAAGGGCTCTTGATCAGCTCTGATACTAGTGAAGGGCTCTTGATCAGCTCTGATACTAATGAAGGGCTCTTGATTAGCTCATACTAATGAAGGGCTCTTGGTCAGCTCTGATACTAATGAAGGGCTCTTGATCAGCTCTGATACTAGTGAAGGGCTCTTGATCAGCTCTGATACTAGTGAAGGGCTCTTGATCAGCTCTGATACTAGTGAAGGGCTCTTGGTCAGCTCTGATACTAGTGAAGGGCTCTTGGTCAGCTCTGATACTAGTGAAGGGCTCTTGATCAGCTCTGATCAGACCTGGTTGCCTCCCTCTGATATACCTATCGCCGGCTTCGAAGTTCTTCTATTCTTGCAGCCATTCATGTCAACTGATTGTCTGTTCAACCAGACTGTTACTGTTGGCTGCCCTCTGGTCCACATGTCCATCACTGCCTGGTTGATCTAGCACTTCGCAGATGCAGTGGACAGTGCTGTACAAAATATGCAATAATCTGAAGGCTATACTCTATATATAATTTGCTGCAGTAAACAGGTAATATCACAACATGCAGAACAACCACTGTGAAAAAAAACAGTAAAATTCCAATCGCTTTCGTGATTTCTCACATTATCAAGGAACTGTAAAAATAAAAGATAAACAGGAAAGCATATAAAGGCGAGACTACATCTATAATTTACATAGGTTTATTTTTTAAGGTCTGATACACGGTATTAATAGGAACCTAAAAATATTTACGTTAGCTAATTCATAAAATTAAAAAAAAATGTAAATATAATTGTCTAGTTGAAACAAGGTGAGTGGTACGAGTTAATTAAATTACAATAAAAAAAACATTATAAAAGTACATGTTCCCTGGAAATTATTTCTTCAGACATAGATATACGAAATAAATAACACTGTCAGAGTACATCGATACCATGCCTAACCCTTCTAGGGTAGGGTAGGTGCCTGAGCCCGAGCCTTTAGCTCATAAGACTGTCATTCCCATTTGTCCCCTTGGGGCGGGGATGGCAGACCAGAGAGGCCTAGCTTGTGGCTAGGCCTGGGGACAGTTGGTCCCAAAGATGAGGAGGTACTTGTGCCTCCTCCCATGGGAGACTTAGGTCTCAGACACTCCCTAAAGAGGGAGCCAAGGCCCGGGCCGGGAAAATACCGGCTAATCTTCAACTAACTAACTAATGTCAGAGTATGAGTGCAACAGCTGTGTCTGAAAGAAGGAACGGCTGCATATTGTACAATCTATGGGAGTAGGAGGGAAAAAAAAGCCGAAACAAGAAGTATGGAGAGCGATTGGATGATAAGCGCATTTGAGGATTTGTTTGATGTAGTATATTGCTGTTAAGAATCACATTAAGGTAATGAGGTGCTTTTTATGATAGTTTTGAAGAGAGAATATCTGGAATCTTCAACCACAGAGTTCCGGATTTTCGGGCCTTTTGAATGCACTGAGTTTTCACTCAGATTGAATTGAGCACAAGGGATATCAGAGATTTTTGCGTCAGTGTTAAGGTATCCGGGTAGTGTGTCAGAGCAGGATTTATATTTGACTTGGTTCATTCTCTCTCTCTACCCTCGTCTCTCTCACACACACACACACACACACACACACACACACACACACACACACACACACACACACACACACACACACACACACACACACACACACACACACACACGGAGGTGATGGAGGCAGGATCCATACATAACTTTAGGAAGAGGTATGATAAAGCTCACGGAGCAGGGAGGGAGTGACCCAGTAGTGACCGGTAAAGAGGCGGGGCCAGGAGCTATTAATTTACCCCTGCAACCACGATTAGGTGAGTACAGCGAGAGAGAGAGAGTAGAATGGAGGAGTGTGTTGTCTAGCACTTATTGTTGAGTTATTATTGGCTTTAGGTGATTTGCTGTAGTAGATCCCCAGGTACAAATACCATAGGTGAGGTAAGGATAGATTAAAGAGTAATACAAAGTTATGCTGTTTGAGGTACATAGTAATGTTTCTTAGAGAATGCTCACTGCTTTGGAGACATTCTTGGTTATGTGATAGTTTAAATTTCTATCTAGGTACAAGACATAGACCAAAGAGTTTTCCTTCAATTTGTATTGCAGTGTGTGAATCATTAATCATTATATTTAGTCTCTTAAAAATTTACACACTTATAATTGTTCACATTTGCTGGGGTATTATTTCTGATATTTTCTGGTAGCAGGTTGAATAGGCTTGGCCCAAGGTGTTGTGTCCATAGTGCGCCTGCTTTCCACTGGGTCTGTTTTGTACATAATATCTCCAGTACATTGTTATGATAGTGTGTAGATTAATATCTCGCTCCAGTACGTTGTTATGGTAGTGTCTTGGGTTAGCACCAGGCCCTCGAGTATCTCCCATGTAAATGTTATTAGGTACCGTATTATCACGCCCTGCATGACCCCTGCTGGTTAAACGCTTCACCCATGAATAATAAATGATTTGAGTTCGGGTAGGAGGTTGGGCAGGAGGTCGGGCAGGAGGTTGGGCAGGAGGTTGGGTGGTATTAAAGAGATGGAGGTGAGAGTGATGTGCCTAGCTCCGCCCCGGGAGGCAGCAACAATAAAGGGAAGAGTGCCACACCATCAGTGCCATTATCACCACTCATAAAGGGTAGAGTGCCACACCATCAGTGTCATTTTCACCACTCATAAAGGGTAGAGTGCCACACCATCAGTGCCATTATGTCCACTCATAAAACTTGCAGTCTCACCGTCTTGACTCTGACTCAACCTTGAGAAAGGGTTGTCTAATTTCTGGAATTTTCATCTCCCTGGAGAGTCTCACTAGAACTCTACTAGTAGCAGCAGCAGCAGCAGCAGCAGCAGCAGCAGCAGCAGCAGCAGCAGCAGCAGCAGCAGCAGCAGCAGCAGCAACAGCAGCAGCAGCAGCAGAAGCAGCAGTAGTAGTAGTAGTAGTAGTAGTAGTAGTAGCAGCAGCAGCAGTAGTAATAGTAGTAGTAGTAGTAGTCAGCAGTCAGTAGTAGTCAGTAGTATAGTAGCAGTTGTGGTGGTGGTATTTACAAGACCATACTGTGTACACAGTAAACCTCTGGCTTGTAAATTAAGCGAAACTTGGTCATATGTGAATGACGCAATATGCGATTTACGGCATTTACATGGTAGATGTGTCATCCACCAGAGTTTATGGTGGATGTGTCATCCACCAGAGTTTATGGTGGACGTATCATCCACCAGAGTTTATGGTGGACGTGTCATCCACCAGGGTTCATGGTGGACGTGTCATCCACCACGGTTCATGGTGGACGTGTCATCCACCAGGGTTTATGGTGGACGTATCATCCACCAGGGTTCATGGTGGACGTGTCATCCACCAGAGTTTATGGTGGACGTGTCATCCACCAGAGTTTATGGTGGACGTATCATCCACCAGAGTT